CCCATCCCATATGGTAGCAGAGTACTGGCAAAGGAAAAATAGATGCTCAATAGACTCGTCTTCATTATTGCACAATGGACACTTCGAGTCGTCCGCAGGCCTCCACTTTGCAACCCTATCTTTGGTGAGAAGCCTTATATGGATAGCAATATAGAGTATAAATACCCACCTTGGTGATCCAGGATTGTTACAAATTAGTCTTCTCCAATCAACTTTTTGGAAATCCCCCTAATTTTGCAATACACTTCTTTTGTGGAGAATCTAGTCATTTGAGTTACCTGATCCTCTGTATATCCAGCTTGTTCAAATATTCCTTTTGCATTTAGGATCTTTTTGACCACCTATGAAGCTTTATCAACCTTTGCATTCCATATTCTACCTTGCTTGATATAATAGGCATGAACCCATCTAATCCACAGCTTGTCTTTTTTCCCACATACATTCCATAGATGTTTACATATGTCAGCTCTATTCCAGGCATATATATCAAATAGACTAAGACCCCCAGCAGACTTTGGATAACATAGTCGATCCCAAGCTATTAGTGCTTTCTTTGATATGTCAGCCCCACCAGTCCATAGGAATCTTCTACATAGTGACTCAATCATTTGGTAGAACAAAGACTTGTGACCAGAAGATTTGTATAGAGAATAACACAGGCTTTATCAGCTAAACTCGCCCAGCATAGTATAGGAACTTTGCAGTCCATTATGTGATTTTGCTCAGCATTCTGTCCAACAATAGTTTGAATTGCATCACAATAATCTTTTTGATACTCAAAGGAATCCCCAGATACCTGAAATGTAGCTCCCCTTGTAAGAATCCCAATTCCTGCAAGATGGCATTTTGATCTTCTCTACATACACTTCCAAAATAAATGGAGCTTTTCTCAGCATTTGCAGACAGACCAGAGGTTGTGGAGACCTCTTGAAAGCAGTCATACATCATTCTAACCGATATAGGATCCCCTCTACAAAAGAATAACAAATCATCTGCAAACCCAAGGTAGGTAATATTCAGCTTCTCACATTTTGGATGGAAATTAAAATCAGGTTGTCTTTTAAGAGTCTTCAGTCGTCTATTCAAATATTCCATTGCCAACACAAATAGAAATGGGGATAGAGGGTCCCCTTACCTTAGCCCTTTCTTTGCTTTGAAAGGGTCAGTAGGTACCCCATTGATGATAACTGAATAGGATACAGGACTCACACATACCATTATTCATCTTACAAACATTGCCGGAAAGTTTAAGCTAATAAGAATTTGCTCCAGAAAAGGCCATTCCACCGAATCATATGCCTTCTTCATATCGATCTTCAACATACATCTAGGCGATATTCCTTTCCGTCCATACCCTTTAACAAATTCGTGACTCATGATAATGTTATCAGTAATCACTCTTCCTGGCACAAATGCAGATTGGCTAGAATCCACTAGAATATCCATGACTTGATGTAGTCTATGTGTTGTAATCTTTGAAATCAGTTTGTAGAGTATAGTGCAACATGAAATAGGCATGAACTCCGCCACTCTTAAAGGGTTTTTTACTTTAGGTATGAGAGTAGTAGTGGTGTAATTTACAGGTTCATGCATGTATCCTGAAGCAAAGAATTCCAAAACAACTTTTGTAGTATCCTCTCCAACAACAGACCAAGCTTTTTTGAAGAACACAACATTGTAGCCATCACATACCGGAGCCTTTAAGTCATTTATATCCTTTAGAGCTTGAACTACCTCATCCATGGTAACTGGTGCTATAAGGTATAGTTGATGTTGTCTGTCCAAGATGCTACCTTCCTTCATAACACTAGTATTTATAGCAGGCAGTTGAGAGGCTGCGGATCCCAATAAATTCTTGTAGAAAGCGATAATCTCCCCATTAATGGCTTCTTGAGTCTGCAATAAAATACCATCTGTATTGATCAAATTCCTGATCTTATTTTAGGTCACCCTATTCTTCATGTTTGCAAAGAAGAAAGCATTATTTGAGTCTTCCAAATTTAACCATTGAACTCGTGATTCTGCCTCAATATGTTTTCCTCTATGGTATCCCAATTCTTCAGCTATTTTTTTGTATTTTTTTCCTGTGCTAATAAAGTTGGATTGTGATCATGACTCTTCATTTGTGCTTGGACCTCTGCAAGTTACTTCCTCGGGATCTTGATTCTCTAATCTATTCCTCTTAATTCCTTTGTATTAATCTGCTTCAGCCCTTCTTTCATACCTTTCAGCCTCATCCACACTCTATTCATCCAACTTCCTCCCATAGGTATTTGCCATGCTTCATTTACAACTTTCAGGAAATTGTGATGCTCCGCTATGCAGTTTAGAAAACTAAAAGTTCTTGGCCCCTGAAAATTCTCCTCATCCATTTTAATACATAACGGGGAATGATCAGAAAGATTTGGATCCAGTACAAGGACCTCTTTTTTAGGGAACCTGATCATCCACTCAGCATTAACTAAGGCCCTATCAATTTTACTGAATACATGGTTGTTAGTCCATGTAAACCATCTACCAATATATCTCATTTCATTCATATTTGTATCCACTAAATAGTCGTTAAAGTCTCTGATCTCTCCTTCATGAACTGGTGCTCCACATTGTTTGTCCTCTGCGTGTGAGATGGTATTGAAATCACCCATGACCAGCCAGGGCTCTATTTGTAGCTGGTTCAGTGCTCTCAAATTAGCCCACATCTGCTTCCTGTCCTTAATGGTATGTAATCCATAAATGGTAGTAAAATTGAACTTCAGATTCAACCTCTGTATGGTCACCACCCCATGTATGTATTGATCAGACATACTCACCATATTATAGGTAATGTAGTTTGGGTCCCATAGAATCCAAATTTGACCTCTGTTGCTATGATTATAGTTATGGTGCCAGCTCCAACCCTTTGCAATTTTCTCAGTTGTTTTAGCTACATTTTGCTCTTTCACCCTATGCTCAAGAACAACTATGATTGCTACACTTCATAAACGCCCTAAATTCCTTCTGCTTATAGGGTTTGTTTAAACCCATCACATTCCAAGTTATCAGATTCATACTGGGATAAAAAGAGTGTTTGAATCCCCAGGATCCTTACTATAGCTACTCTGTCCTTTGTTCTCCTCAGCACATCCAATATGCATCACATACTGAAAATTCTGTTCACCAAGGGGACTAAAGCCATTTGATACATTCACCTTCTACTCTGCTACATTTTGAACTCCTTTCATGGCAGATTTTCTCCTTGCAAGTTGCCATTGATCTGTTGATGGATTCCCTACTAGACTGGAATTTTTTGTGACCTGGGCTTCCTTCTCTTGCTGTACTAGTTGGTCACCTTTTGTGGCTCACACCTGTGTATCCGCAGTCTTCTCAGGTTTCTTTATCCAAGCTTGTTTTGGGTTTGTAATCTTTATCTTTGGAGCTATGGCTGGAGGCTGTTTTTGCATTGGTTTACAAGTGTGGCCAACCTGTAAACAGTGAGGGCAATATGCTGGTACCTAGTCATACTCCACTTCTTGTTCAAAAATTCTCCCATTAGGATCTAACACCTTGATCCTAGTTGGTAATTCTCTGGTAACATCCATTTCAATTAGGATCCTAGCATACAAAATCCGTTCTACTTTTGTTGTGCACTTGTCAGCATATAAGGGAATCCCTAGCCCACTTCTAGTTCTGCTTAGTGAATCCATTCCCCAGCAGCTTAGGGGAAGATTTGGGAATTTAGCCCATATTGGAACAGTTTGAAGTACTTCAACCTGAAAATCAAAGCTCGCTCTCCATGGTTTTATAATTATTGGCTTATTGCTGATTGTGTATGGTCCTGAGTAGAGTACCTCGTCCCTGTCTTCCATGCAATTGAACCTCGCTACAAAGTATCCATCATTGTGATAGAAAACTTTTGGTTTTGAGGCAAAATTCCAATGCGCTGAAATAAATCTCTCGAGAGCTCCAATGGTCGGGGTATCACCTACCACATACAGTATCAATGCTTGCCTCCACTTTGCATTTTCTTTTTCTATTTCCTCCCTGTTTAGTTCAATAATCTTCTCCCCATCCTTCACAACTGGGGCTACAAAGCTTAAGTTCATACCCCTTGCCGCCATTCTATTACCCACAAATAAGTTTTTCCATTCCCTTGTTCCAGTTGGATTTGCTGTGGATTTGTCCATCTGAATCCCCAAAGGTGCATGCTCCACTGTTTTGTTCAAATTTTGCACTCTAGTGTTATCACCAGGATTTGTTACCACCAGTTTGGACCCCTCTTTGGCCACACCATTATTTGGGTTGCACTCCACTGATTTCACTAAATTTAAGCTTCTCTGAGCACCCGAGATTACATCACCCGCTGACCTGCCCAGATCTGGAGCATTAGCAGTCGAATTTGTCACATTATTCACCTGCAGCGCTTTCTGATTCGATACCAATTGATTTCCACCATTTTTTTCGGAATTGGGACTTGTTACCCCTCTGCCGTCTACCCCAATACTCGTCGGAGTTTGGAATTCCTCCCCCTTAAGCACCAAAGGTGGCCAATCTTCCTTTCCAGCTCCCAATTGTTCCAATGATGCAATTGCTTCCTTGCCCCCTCCACTTCGCTTAAAAGCTTCTATCGTCAGCTGTTGAGTGCCTGAGCCTTCCCCAGCTCCCTCTACCCATTGTCGATTTGGCGCACGTAGCAAGACACGCTTATTGTACGCCAAGAATTTCAAAGTCTATTTTTTAAGTTAAGTTAAATTATTTTTAAAATTAAAAATATATCATTAATAGATTAAAAAAAAATATATCTCATCTTATTTGAAATATAAGAAAGAAAATAGGAATACCTTAAAACTTAGAAGGACCACATTAATTAAAAGAAGTCACGCAAAACAAAAGGAAAGAATTGGGAAGTATGTTGGAGACAGAGAGTAGTGGGTCCCATAAAATAACGGACTTTGAGGGCCACTATATACTCTCTCGCTGTAATGGAGGAAACTCATCATTTATATAAGAAGACTAACTAAAGACCAGTGTACATAAATCGCAATAAAATAGCGCACCCACTCAAAACTTAAGAATTTTTTTTTGTGGTTATCTAAAATATAGAGTATAGACCAACTCCCTGGTCGGGCACTTTCTTCAATATAGCAGTAACTATAGCACCCATCATTTTCTCATTTACTCTCTTTACCCTTTTTCTGTTGATCTTCTCTGCCGGCTATTTTTAAGAGTAAAACAGTTGAGCGGTTAATGGCGATGCCTGATCTGCCCATGGATTTCGATAGTAACAGGTAGTTTTTTTATTCCTTTTGAGTGCGTCGTTGTAATTTTTTTTCTCCAATTTTCGTGCTTTTTTTTAGTGATATATTGGGTTTATTATTGTTTCTCTTGGCTTTGCTTAGATTGATGTTTCAGTTCTGTAGTTCAACTTTGTTAGTCGTGAAAATGCTGGAAATTGAATTGCCGGAGTTTGTATTTTCAATTTTATCATAATGGCATAGTGTGAAGGCACCAGTTCGGGTTAAATTACACATACACACACACACTGACACACATAATGTTTTCTTTCTTTCTTTTATTTATACTATAAGAGTCGTTTGTTTGAAGTTTATAATGAGTTTGCAAAACAAATGCTACCTATTTTCGTTAAGTTCCACTTACTGTACTTAAAATCCTGGTTTCACTCTCTTATTAATTTCTGATATCCGTTATTAATTGTCTCTATTTTATTACTAGTTGATGTTCCCATTAGCATTTATTTTGTAATGTGTTTCCCATTGGGTGATTAATGGTAGATACAAGTGGTCTTTTATCATTTCTCCTTAAATTTTATTACAGTTCTGCCTGTCTATGTATTGTATTGTATAATGGCGCTGTGTACCTCTAATTTGGTCTAGTGACTCGAATTTTATGCTTCTACTTTCTGTGTTATAGGTGATCATGTCTCAAGCATTTTCTGCATTTCTGTGTCGGCTTTTCTATTTCCCACTTTTTGGATCAACATGTATATATGTAAATTTTCGACGCTGTTCATATATTTAAAGGATAATGCTTGAATCATCATAAAATGAGATCTGTTCAAGTGAAATATTTTACATGTTGAGAGGTAGTCCGTACATTTATTTTAATTATAAAACGAATCTAGAATTGAATGGATTGATTGTTTTATTTGATGAAACTGTAGCAGCGAGATATGGGATTGGCAATGTGGGGAAACTTTTCTTGAAGACCGTGAGAACTTTGGTAAGTTTAGCTACTGTCTCTAGCAATTTCAAGTGAGAAAGATAGTTGAGTCGAGTCATCCATGTTAAACAGGGCTGCAGCCTCAAGCAGACGTATCGGAATGTTTATGGACTGGTGTAACTGAAAATAAGGAAGATCTTTCCTACATTTTTGATGATGAGACCACTCCAGTTAAGGACTGTGGTGACTTGACACTCAATGTCAAGGGTAAAGGATCTAAATATAACAATTATCTCTATCGTCTAGTACTCAGCACAGTTTAAGCATGTTAACGTGATTTAAGTGGTTTGATCCAGATGTTACAACCAAGGAATTGGAGCAGTGCAGAGAACCTGCTAAAGTGGTAAAAAGACGCAGAATGCTGCAATTTGACGCTGAGATCCTGGATGTTTCTGGTTCAAACGAAGAGATTCCATTAACCTGCTTAAAATCAAAGGTTACTACTACTACATGTTTGCCTTGTGCTTTGAGGAGATGTCTGGCAAAGCACAGTAGCACACTACTAATCATACTTTAGCATTAATAGCATGAGCTGTTTCTCACACATGAAACCAAGTTAAGAGTGCTGTTAAGCCAACAGATCAGTAGTGGAATTTGGTCTATAAGGAACCTCATACACCTTTTAAATTCTGCTTCATTACATATTTATGATACTAGGTAAGGCAGAAAAAGTATCTGACATAGAAACAATTTTAAAAAGTGACCTACATGGAAGTTGGATAATGCAGGAGAGGGATGCATATTTCGAAGAAGCTATATGCGAGGTCTCAGACTGGTTATCCGAATATGCAGGTCAATCCGTGCAACATTATTCTAAACCTATATCTGCTTAAAACTTTTGAATTTCCTATTGACGGAATATGTTTTCCTAGATGGTGCAACATCTTCGGCTCATGAAGGTTTGGATGAGTCTTCTGAAGAATGGCTTACCGATTGCTTTAATGATCCTGAGTTGCAGCCTGGTTCCGAGGATATGTAAATTTAATCCTTAGCCTTCCGTGGTTGTAAGGACTTGTAATTATACTCTGTGCTCTAACGCACTTTGTTTAACAGGAATACATCTGGAGTACCTGATGTTCAAGCTGACATAATAGGTAGAGAATCTCTCTTTCCCTTGGATGTTCTCTTCCTTTCTGGTCCCTGTCTCTTCTACATTCTTTATTATGTGCTGGTGTTCTTCTCTTCCTTTTCATGTTATTCGTGTTTAATATTTGATTGATGGCAGCTTATCTGTTGCAGAGGTTATTAATTCCTCGCCAGAACGTGAGACAACTATGGTTAAAAGCAGTTCTGTTCGTACTTGTGGAAACATTATTTTCAAAGGTTAGTACTTTATCTATGATTACACTGGGTACTTATTCATGGTTACACTTAATCATATTCTCTTAGTCTCAAATAGCCAAAAATTCATAACATTGTGAAAAATCCCCTTGTTATGATATTGTCCATAGTGTGGGCTTTTCAGTGTTTACGTTTTTGCTTCAGTTATATTGCATGAAAACACATGGAAAACTTGCTGCAACTGAGCTCCTATTTTTAACTGATGACTATGTACTCAGGTAGGAATTCATACATGCAACCTCCCAAAAAAGGTGCATCTTCTGTAGTGTACCCATTCGGCTTTATCAAACCCTGCAGTGCTCAAGGAGATGTGACGTTAAAAGAGATTAACAAAAAGATACACACTCCACCACCATCCAAGTCGAAGCAAAGCAATCAAGATCCACCTTCTTATCCCACATCAGCTTTTTCTGGGAAACCTGTCGTTGGCAAGACAAAAATTAACATAGAGGGCGGAAGAGGCAGCATTACAATCATGAGAACTAAAGGATGATCTTAAAATGTGTTTTTGGCATACTTTTGCTTGGGATTGCTCAGCAGTTTCGGGGTATTGCTTTGGGCACCTTTGGCATATAAGTTGATTTGTGAATGGGTCTTTATTAGGGAGAACATGGGGAGACTTGCAAGTGGAGCAGTCTCCCATGATTTTGAAATCTCCATGTATATTGGATTAGTAGATGGATGACTTATCTATTTTGATAAGTTAGCAAATTCTTAATGCTCAAATGCTTAAAGAGGTCTTGCCTAATCAATTAGGCCAATAGATTTTTTGGATATCCTCAGGCAATGTAAGCATAATCCCAATCCAATGCAAGTCACTGTTAGTCTGTTACACATGCATCTATGGCTAGCAGAGGCGGATCCAGGATTTAGACCCTATGGGTTCAACTTTCAAAAAATTTAGCATTAAACCCATTATATTTTTAGTTATGGGTTCATATATACTATTTTTGCAATTTTAATGAATTTTTACATATAAAATTTTACTCCGCGTCAAAAGTAATGGGTTCAATTGAACCCGCCCGGTATATGCTAGATCCGCCCCTGATGGCTGGTCTATGGATCTTGTTAACAATGTGACTGGTTTTTTCTGTCGTTATTTATCTTTTATGGGTTGCCAAAGGGAGACTGAAAATAAGTCAGTTGATGTTGCTGGATTAGGCAACTGATGTACAGTATATTACAAACAAGCTGATCTTGAAATGTTATCAACTTGTCAAGCTGGTTTGGTACGTTGTTATGAGCAGCGTTGATGCTTGATCTTGGGTCTGAGGTATGGGTCGAATCATGACAAACAAGGTTTGGTGCTTGTGTAATTCCTAAGCAGCTGATCTATGGAATCCATTTTCAGAAATCTATGGCATGTTTGTATGGGAACAAAATCTTCTAAAACTATGGACTCTCCCCTCATAAATATAAAAAATCCCATTTTGAGGACTCACTGTGTTTGGCCTAAACAGAGCTTTCCCAAGAAAGAATTTTCCAAAAATATAAAGCAGACATGTTTGAACCAATAATTCTCTTAGAATTTGCTTTGCTTTGCTGTATAATCTTATAAACTGTTTATACAAAGATGAGGTACTATAATGTTTTATGTTTGTTTGGTTTCTATTTGTGAAAAAAACAATGTACATGCTGTCTGCTCAATCTCAACCCTCTCAAATCTCAATTTAAATGGATTGGGATGAATCTTTCCTGTGGCTCATCATAATTGGATCACCTTCCTTTTGACTGTCGCTGAATATCCTTATTCAATTCATAAATTTTGTACTTACTGCCCTGTCGCAATGACAAATATTTGCATATCCTGCTATTTATGACAAACTATCTTTAACATCATTCTTTTATCACGTAATTTACATATTTTTCCTCGAACGACAATGTCCAAAAAAAGAAAAAAATCAACCCGAATGATGCCATAACATCAGTAACATATTTACAGTAAAAGTTCGATTCCCAATTTGTAATCCCTCCCCTATTTCCCATCTCATATCAACAACAACCCAGTAAAATCCTAGAAGATTTCTCATCCCCTATACCTATATAATAATAATAATAATAATAATAATAATAATAATAATAATTACATATTTTCACCTAAGAGTGTCATTGGCCGGATTGGTTCGGATTTTACAATTACCAAACCAATTGTATCGGGTTATTAAATCTAAAGACCAAACCAAACCAATAAAATTCGAGTTTTTCAATCTCGATTTTTCTCGAATTTTCGGGTTATTCGGGAGGTTTTCTGGTAACATCTTCGTAGAACAAAACATATAAGATTTGCTCAAAATATTTCTTTAATCCTAGTAAGATACAACTATATAAAGTATTTTCCAAGAAAATAATACAAAATATGAGATGTGTCATGGCATTATCCTAAAATTTTCAACAATAAAAACAATAAAATTATGTAATATAAATATTGCTAATTAAAAATCCATAACAAAAATAAACATAATCTAAAAGTACTAAGGCATGCTAAAATAAATAGATTATTAAGGGAGTATTAATTACATGACTAAACGCTAAAGAAAAATAAAAATAGGTTATGCATTTTTATCTAAATTGTTGCAAAATAAAAAATAGATATTTAATACTTTCTCGTTCGTAATATTGAATTGAATGTCTTTTGTTAGCATTTGTATTGATTTGATTTTGGTTTGGACTTTTGTTAGCATTATAAAATTTACTAATATTAATGGCTATAAAATCTATTGAAGCATTCAAAAGTTCTAAGTCCAACCTTGAAATAATACCTTAAAAGATAAAATTATGAAAGTTTTTAAGAAATATTTATAAATTACATCACAATAAGTATATTTATATATTAAATATATCTAAAATTTCTATATATGTAATGTCGGGTTGGTTTGGTTTCGGTTTGACTTTCTTTAGTTAAAACCAAACCAAACCAATTCAATTAAGGTCGGTTTTTTTTTTCCAACACCAAACCAAATCAAACCAAACCATAGTCGGGTTTTTTTTTCTCAGTTTGACTCGGATTATCGGGTTGGTGCGGTTTGTCGGTGTAACGACCCGACTTGTCATTTTGAGAATTAATGTTCCGTTCGGTGGCTTAAGGTCTCGAGCAGCTTTGAAATGTGTATTATGAACTGCGAGGGTAGTCAAGTTTGATTTTTCAGATTATTTGGGATTTAACTGAAAGAACAATTTTTGTTTTGGAAGCTTAAGTTGAATAAATGGACCGGATGGTAAAATATGTGTAAATGATCCCGAAATAGATTTTTTATGATTCCAATAGCTCCGTATGGTGATTTTGAACTTTGGAGCGTGTCCAAAATTCTTTTTGGAAGTCTATAGTTAAATTAGGCTTGAAATGGCAAAAATAGGAAATTTGAGTTTGGAAGTTTGACCGGGGAGTTGACTTTTTGATATCGGGATTGAAATACGATTATGAAAATTTGAACAGCTCCGTTATGTCATTTATGACTTGTGTGCAAAATTTGAGGTCAATCGGAATTGATTTGATAGGTTTCGGCATCGAATGTAGAAATTGGAATTTGTTAGTTTTGAATAGGCTAGATGTTGGGGTGTGATTCATGTTTTAGTATTGTTCAATGTAATTTGAGATATCGACTAAGTTTGTGTCATATTATGTGATTTGTTAGTATATTTGGTTGGGGTCCTATGTGGCTCGGATGAGTTTTGGAACAGATTTTGGAAGAAATTGGTATTTTGAGCATAAACATGTAATGATCTAGAGGTCCATTTTTAGTTCTAGAGATCAAAATTTGATTTCGATCCTTCCGGAATTTTTATAATGAATTATAGGAGCGATCTGGAAAGTTTGGTCTAATTTCGTCAAGTCGCGATTGGCTTTTTAACGTGAAACATGAGTTAATTATTTAACGAGCGAAATGGGTATCGCACTAAGCAAATGAGCTCCAAATTGAGTTTCGATTTAAGGACTAGGTCCGTATTGTTATTTGTGACTCATAGGAACAAGAATCATCAAAAATCTGAGTTCGTATGATGGAGTTAGAGCATTTTTAGTGAAGTTAAAGACTGCTAGTGCAGCAGGATCTGGTGCGCACCTTTAGCAACCAGATTTGACACTTATAGCGACGGTAATTGGGCCTTTAGCGACCAGAATCGTGTTTTTAATGTTATTCTGGGTTTTAGCCCATTTTGACATTTTTGGGTGCAAGAACACGGCCTGGGGCGATTTTTTGAGCAAGAAATTATGGGAAATCTTGAGGTAAGCCACTTGTGATTATTTCTACTCCATAATATTGAATTATCATCGAATAATCCGACTAGATTACATGTTTCTGAGGTGTAAATTGAGGATTTGGACCTAGGGATTTGAAAATAAGATTTGAGGATTTGAAGGTCGAGTTGATGTCAGAATTTGGTAAATTTGGTATGGTTGGACTCGTGGTCGAATGGGCATTCAGATTTTGTAACTTTTGTCGGGTTCCGGGACGTAGGGCCCCACAGGAAATTTTTGAGTTAATTTCGATTTTAGTTGGAAAATTAGCATTTTCATATGGAATTAATTCCTATAATTTGTGTTGACTGAATCGAATTAATTATGATTAGATTCAAGCTGTTCGGAAGTTGATACGCACAACTGAATTTCTGGAGCATTGTTTAGCTTGCTCGACATTGGAATCGGCTTATTTGAGATAAGTAACTCTTTTAAACTTAGTGTTGGGGGTATGAAACCCCGAATTATGTGTTATGTGATTGATGTTGAGGTGACGCACATGCTATGTGACGGGCGTGTGGGCGTGCACCTTGTGAATGGTGACTCTGTTGTTTCCAGGACACTGTGTAATGGTCCTACTTTGTTGATATCTGTGTTTTCACCATGTGATAAGTAAATTGAGCTGTATATCATGTTAGATATCATGTTTAGGCTTTATGCCGATATTGTTGGGACCCATAATGGTCGTTTCTTGTTGTCATCTCACTGATTTCATTGATATTTCATACTCAGTCATATTCATTTATTCATATAATATCTCGGTCTCAGTTGTTATTATTGATACATTATATCATCACTTTTGGACTGATTTTCATGACATTTTGAGCCCGAGAGACTGGAGAGATTGATGACTGAGTGAGGCCAAGGGCCTAATTGTGAGGATGATTATGGGATCGGGTTGCACGCCGCAGCATATTGTTACTGATTTATGAATGAGTGAGGCCGAGGGCCTGATTGATTTATGCCACAAGGTGGCTTGTTATAGCGTTTGGGCTGAAGGAGCCCCTCCGGAGTCAGCACACCCCCGGTGAGCGCAGATACCTACTGAGTGCGAGTGCCGAGTGACTTGGGAGGATTGAGTGACTGCGAGGCATGAGTGACTGTGAGAATTGAGTGAATTGATACTCTGAGAGTATGCATATGATTTTGTCACTATTTTTCATTGCATTGGCATGCACATTGAAATATAGGCATAGAGATGTACTTTCCTCATGCCATTTGAAAAATGAAATCTCCTATTTTGAAAGAAAGTTTTATGGGAAAGATCATAGTTTTCAGACTTACTCATATTTTGGTGATTTTAGTGAAAAGAATTGAGTTTTACTATTATACTAAAATATTTCTTTTTGGAATTGTGAACGAGTTGAGCATTTTATTATTGAGTTATTCCTTGTGATGCTTTAATTATATTGTTCGGTTGTACTCATACTACACTTCCTGCACATTGCGTGCATATTTTGGATGTCGACGTTGCTGTGTTCGATGGGAGCTGACTTGGAAAATGTACCGGCATCACGGTTGTAGCTGCCTCTTGTTCATGGCAGCCTTAGAATTTTAAACTCTGTTTATGTAATTGTCAAACAGATGATGTATTTTTT